GATTTTTTGTGTGATTTCTATAAATAAACTTCTAAAATAAACAGTATTTTGTTTTTAGGTTTACATTTTGACGGGGTACCGACCTCCGACCTCACTGGGTTCAGCATCAGCTGTTCGTCCGTTACCATGACGGTGGAGCACGACGACAGGCGGCCATGTGATGATGCGAGTCCCGCCGCCGCCGTCGGCCAATCATGAGAGGAGGCTGATGACCTCATCGAGCTCTTTTGATTGGACACAGACCTGAGCGAGCGAGCTGATTGGACACTGCTGGGGTAGTTCGGGACGCCGTCATTGGCTGAAAGATGATCGATGCGTTCGTCTGACTTTGTGCTTTGGTTGTGTTTTGCTGCAGAAGAACTTTTAAAGTGAGGCTTCTCTTCGCTTTGCTCTTCCTGCAGGACGGCTTCAGGGGTTCCTGTCAGAACAGGAACTACACAACATCCACAAGTCTGAAGGTTTTAAAGCTTCAATCTGATGCTTAGCAAGAATAAACAGACAGAAGCTAACAGGCCAAATGTAACAGTGAGAAGTTAGTAATCCAAAACTAAAACAAAATGTCAGTTTAATGTGTCATTTGTTATTTATCGTTTATAAGCTGCTTTAATATTAACAGCAAATGTGTTCAAATTAAATCATTTCTTTCGGATGTACACATTTCAAGTGTTAGTGACGTCCTACCAACATGGAGCTCTGTTGGCCTTTCTCTCCTCCTCCTCCTCCTCCTCATCTCAGCAGACTCCTCCTCCTCCTCCTTCATCACCTCCTCCTTCATCTTCAGATCTCCTCTCAGACCTTCTCTCAGCTTGTTTTTCTGGGAGTTAGTCAGCACAACATTCAGACTGTTCCTGAGTTTTCTGCTATGTTGTGGGTATTTTTAGGACATTTAATGAACTTTTATGCACTTTTGAAGCATGACATATATATAGATATATATATATAAATCAGTAACTGCTCACCACAGATTTAAAAGCAGAGCGCTCCACAGTTCCTTCATCTCTTTTCGTCTTCTCCTCTGGTTTCTGGTTCGTTTGTTTATTGCTTTCGTTTCTTTCCCTCCTCATCCTCTTTTGTTTTTCTGATTCTTCACTCTTCACCGTTTTCATTTTCTTTCTCCTAAAAGAAAACAGAAGAAGGACTTAATCTTGTACGAGTGTGTTTCTGGATCCATTATCAGTCCATTTAAAACATTATTGCATAAATGTGACCTAAACACCATCAGATGTTCACACTAGTCCTAATATTACACTTTTCCATTGATATGTATTATTAGATTACTGTTCTTATTAAATAAACGACAGAGTTTGTTCAACAACAGGGTTCTATTTATCTACAGCAACACAAAACACTTTTCACTTTTGTTTATTAGCTTCTGTTATTAGCCTTTGTTAGCTTGTGTGTTTTTAGCTCCTGTTAGCTTTTGCTTATTAGGTTCTGTTAGCTTTGTTTACTAGCTTCTGACTGCTACATTTTGTCTGGTAGCTGCAGTCTGTTAGCATTTGTTTATTAGCTTCTGACTATTTGATTGTGTCTGTTAGCTCCTGACTGCTAGCTTGTGTTTATTAGCTTCTGTTAGCTTTTGTTTATTAGCTTCTGGCTGTTTAATTTTGTCTGTGAGCTTTTTTTTTTTATTAGCTTCTGTTAGCTTTTGTTTATTACCTCCATTCTGCTAGCTCCAGTGTGTTAGCTGACCTTTTTTAATATGGTGTATATATTCTGTGGCAGATATATGCGACACGTATTAATGAAATGAATAAGACTTCCTGGTTCACCCTGAGGTCACTGCAGCGTTCTCAGGGTTCTGTTTCTTCTTGGTTTGGTCTTTGGGTTCCTCTGCTGTGGCTTCAGGAGGGTTCATGTTCTGACTACACAGAAAACAACAACAAAAAGAGGCGACTGTACGTTAAAAACACATTTTGGTTTGTTTATGTGTGTTTTCTTTTTTTTCTCAAGACAGAATTTTAATTTGTGTTATTTCCCAGGTTTGGGGTTTTCAGGTTTGTTCTAAATGTAATGAAACAGATCCTATAATAACTGACATTAAAAGATTAAACATGAATCACACAGACCCTGGTCCAGGTGGTCCAGGTGGTCCAGGTGGTCCAGGTAGATCTTCCTCCTCCTCAGTGTTTCCTCGTCTCTGCTCCATCAGTGGGTTCATGCCAGCGCTGCTCTGGCTGCTGTCTCCAGGTTTCTCCATCACTGCTTCGCTTTGGGTTTCTTTCTCAGCTGCTTGAACCACAAACAGGAAGTTCAGATCTGATTTAAATTTGACTTATTTCAAAGCAGCAGAGTTGTACCTGAGTCGGCGTGGCTGCTGGCTGAGTCGGCCTCAGGCGGTCGATGGACGTCTGAGAGCTGCTAAAACAATAAAAACATTTACATCCATTACAGCTGCTCTGAACCGACCCGTAGCTTCACTTCAGACGGAGCTGGACGTCACCTCGTCCACGGACTGGAGGTGCTGGATGTCGGTCAGCTGCTCCTCAGCTTCTGCACACAAAGTACAGCAGGAAGGAGTAACTATGGTGATGAGTGTCTAACAACTGATCCCCTGGTGCCTCATAAACATATAAATATAGAGTTATCAATAATCAGCAGCATCTGGTTACAGTGAAACATCCTGATTATTAAACATCAACGTGCCACAGATCTGGATGTTAGTGCACAACAGGGGAAAACAAAGTGGCTACAAACACGTCAGAGATGTAGAAACGATCGTGTTCAAGTGTCAAACATCTGGACAACATCTGAACAACATCTGGACAACATCTGGACAACATCTGGATAACATCTGGATAACATCTGGATAACATCTGGATAACAACACATCAACGTGTCAGATATCTGAACTTTAACACACAAAGGTGTCAAACATCTGGACATTAACACAGAATTGTCAAACTCCAGATGTTAAAACACAGCAGAGGAAAAAAGTAGAAGTTTA